AGAATATTTGTTGCATAACTTCATTCACGTCTCCGCCATACCGACGGTTTGACGCGGTAGTTGCCTAAGTTTGACAATAAATATATTTGATGGGCTTTTCTGTGTTTGCCTGTTGATGGGGCCAACCTATTCCACGCGTAGCACATCATATGAAACCCGAATAATACTGGAAAGTTCTGCATCAAATTGTCTAAATTAATTCGCCTTCAAAAGATTTGGACTCGATCACACACGTTTGCATTGCATTGCATTGCATTGATGAAAAGGTACGAAAGGTGGAAGTTAGGTGGCACGCTCCGGTCAAGGGGTCTGCGAAGGCTGGAGCCGCCGAGTCTGCGAAAGCAAGGGCAGCGGCTGAGGGAGGAGGGCAGTGTGGAATGCTTAGCGCGGCGGCGATCCGTGAGCCCAGCGCTGTGGGTTTCTCATTTCGGAGGGGGTGGGGGAAGGCGAGCGGAAGACGCAGCGGCGCGGGCGGAGGGCGCCTCAGGTGCAGCGGTGACGCACGAAGTCGCTGCTTGGAAATTCCGCCCCGCTGCCCTTCAGCGCGGGCGCCCGTTTGTCTGCCAGCTCCTCCTCGAAAAGGCGATTCACGGGTTGTTTTTCTCGACCCGAGACTCATTCAGTCTGGACTAGTTTCTGAAATGGAGCTCCTATGTTCTTTTCCCTTTGTTGAGAACTTTGTTTCCCCCTTTTCTTTGGAAATCCCTACAACTCATTCGAAGCTTCTCGGTTCTCATTTGTTCCACAAACTTGAACTTGCCTATCCTCTGGCGCGACTGATCCTAGCCTCTAGTGAAATGCAAACTTGCACAAGCATTAAATTAATTCGTTTTTTTTTTTTTTTTGGTAAATGTGAATCCATTCTTACATTTTAATACATCCTATTAGAGATCACATGAATTACGTGTAACACAAAAATAGTTTATAGAGACGAGCGCAACAATTCACCTTCTTAATCACGCATTGAATATACAAATGTTAGCAGTCATTTGTACGCTTTTGTGAATTTCCCATATTGTTTCCCATTTTGTTAAATTCCCATATTGTTTATACCACTCTATTCGTGAGTGTATGCTAGTTTGATTCTGCGCTCCAGTTTAACTCGAAAGCGTTCCCGATTCTGCTTTCAGTGTCACTGTTTTATAGAATGTGATGCATTACGGTTAAGCCTCCTACACCGAAATGTATTCCGCAGCTGAAAGTCCACACGCCTCGCATTTTCGTCCAATTTTGAATTTGGTAACCTGTTTTTGAAACAAAACTGTCGCTGATGGCCTCCGTTAGCATGCAATGCCAGAAGCTCGACAAATGGCGCCCGGATCCTGCCGCTCGATTGGACGGGAGCGAAGCCGAGGCGGACGGGCGGAGCGGAGTGCCCAGGTCGGGTGTGTTTCGAGCCTGTGAAATCCGCATGATGTTAGCGTCAGCGTGACGGGCATCAGGGCTCGACGGGCGGCCGCCGGGCAAACAGTGTGCGCCCAGATTCGTGTGTCCCCGCCCCCCGCCCCGCCCCGCCCCGCTTCGCCCAGCGCCGGGCTAATCCGAACGGGCGGCTATCTCGCCGGCGCCCCGCCCGCCACCACCACGCCCCGCCCCCGCGGAGACACTCGGGCTGACGGCCCCTCGTCGCGCCCAACGCGCTTCACTCCAACCTGCCAGCTCGTGGTAGCGCCGTTGAGACAGTGGCGATTCTCGGGGGAGCAAACGCCCCCAAATTAGCTTCTTCCTCTGAATGATAAAATAACAAATTAAAAAAATTTTCCTTTGCATATAGAAAGTGATAATTTATAACTTGAAGAGAAACTTATATTTTATTTTGTATTGACTATAAATTATTTGACTCAGCTTAAAAAAACAAGTACGTTTTGAAGCGACGCTTCTCGAAATGATGCAACTCGCTCTGTAAAGGAACGTGCAGTATTTCCTCCTCATGAGTAGTAATTACTAACCTGCTACGATCACCGGAAAGCAATAAATACAGAAAATTACAAAACAAAGTAAAACAGATATACAGAAAATTGACCCCTTTACGCCACCAAATGTTGCTTTGTCATTTAGTGCGTACTTCTTTAGGTCAATAAAATGAGGGATGCCTATAAAGTCTGGAACAATAGTCACTATTCACTAATAAACGGAGATAATCATGTTTATGACAAACAGAAATGTTTTATATTTATAAAGATCTGGTCTTACATGTTGTGTACGATAGAAGAAAATGCTGTAATTTTTGTGTAAGGACAAGAATGCTGGACATGTTTAAATACACTTGGCCATCTTTGCAATTAAAAACGCTATCGTGGAACTTAAAAACTCGCCATATTCAATTGAACAATAACGTCACTCACTCAGGCTCGATCTAGTCAGTCCTTGAAGGTACATTTGCAGCAACCTAGCGACATAAAGAACAATGTCGTCAGATAAGGTTTTTTCTATTATATTTGCTTACATAATTTTTTCTACACTATTAGTGTCTACATTCCGAAAATTTTCAGGTAACTCAAATTAGAAATCACTCTTTAAATCCACCTTTTAATGATAGTGTGTTATATGTAGCTCACTTTCGCTTCACTTAAAATGTTTGCCGTTGATGTATGGCTAAAAGGGGTCTCTATTCCAGCTATTTTAATAGAGCTGGCACAATTATTTCCCCAAAAGACGAATTGAAATTCCTTCTTAATCCATTAAATTCTATTTCCATCTAAATTAATTTTTTCTCATATTTGTCCTACAAAACATAATTATCATCAACTGTTTCATAATTCAATGTTCATTTCATTGTGTTATGTATCGGGTTACAATGACTATTGCTTAATTAGTTTGATACAAAATTTCTTTAATTTTGGCAACTAAACCTCCAAATAATCAGTTACGATCAGCCGTGAGACGAATCCCTGAATGCATTTGACATTGACGTGGGAGACTTTTTTTTCTTATGCGATATTTTGCAATTCAGAATTTTATGAGCACTGAATTTTTATTGTCGAATATATATGTCGAGTATTTATATGAAACCGTATCTGCGAGACCATTAAAGAACATGAAAAGAATTGCTGGTGCGTCTGTATATCGATGCAGAAAGTAATTAATTATTCCATAATGATTGTTACAGGTGGTGTTCGGGTTCAATTTCATCAGCGCGTAATGCGAATTAATGAATGCTGTTTAGTAGTACACATGTGTATTCACGGGAGATATAATACTATAACCCCAATGTGCTTAATAATTCTGCCTTTTCAGTGGAAGTAGTCTTCATTGTATTTCTGTGAAATCAAACAGTACTTTATATATTTATATTTATATATATATAAAAATTACTTAATAAATTAATAAAATACATCATTGTTGCTTTAAGTTTTTGAACAGCATGGAACTACAGAATGTCTCGGGGTAAATGCAAAAAACCTCTAGAGCGTGTTTCTTGGTCGAAGATGAAACTTCTTCCCGTTAAACATATGATGCTGCATTTAAAATAACGAAGCTACACAGGTGATTTCCCCCCGGCTTGTATGAAACATTTTGCACTGATATTTTAGCACCTACACAATTTACAAAATTTTTATCTACAGAGCACTGGCGCACTAGTTGCCTACCAGCCAGGTGCCACTGTTGCTAGTCAATCTTCATTACATGAACTTTTGTAATGCATGGCTGTCGGCAGACAATGATCATGTTCAGTCCCTCTACATGTTTTGTAAGGATTTAACGTATATTCTGAGACCTGTACAGAGCGTAAAAAGCTCTGAGATGATAGGAGGCTTTGGCACCAAGTCTTCATTCCAGATACGTTTAATAAAGTGTTTTCGAATGGTTCTGTTTGCATTTCATCGCCAGAATAGTATCGTCTTGGTTTGCTCTTCAATTTGGTCTCGCCTTGTTTGCCGTATAGATTGCTACCTCCGTCGTTCTGTCGTTAAATGTTAATAAAAAATCCTTATCGGACTCCGAAATAATACGAGGAATATCGTCCTCTCATAAGTGTAATATTTATTGTGCACGTGATCTCTGAACTTTGGGCTTAGCGAATTTTATATCGGAAGACTCCTCTTGATAGTTTAGGTGTAAACCAGGAAACACGAGTTCGATAACTGATAGGGAAATAATTGACGGCTATTTTCACCCCGCAAAAAAGTGTATCTGGAGACATGTCTTCATCCAATGGTATCCGTCATATGATGTGATGCTATTTAATGTAAGGATACATGAATTCAAATTTTTTCAAAACATTAGTTATGGATGGTATTAAACTGTACCTTAAAATTGTTGGCGAATCCCAAAAAGGGGGTGTTTGGGTATAATCGAGTTTTAAATAACTTGCCTTACAACATGTCTGTAAAAGGGTTCAGGATAGTATTGCCAGTGCCACGGTATTAGGGAGTTTTAGCGCCAGACACATCCTTAAACTCAATTGACCACGTGACTAACGACGTTATATGGTCGCAACAAACAACATTCAGAAGAGTTAGTTATAGCGACGTTGCGTTTGCATTATAACAAAATAAGCACTTTAAGCGTTGAACACAGAAGTTGCATAATACATTAAAGAGTTTAGGCTGGTAGTGACACATTTGAACTACGATAAGAGTCAAAAGCACAACAAATCTACATCGTGTGAGGAGTTTTAGATTTTTCGGCTCTCAGCGATGAGAATGAAGTCAGGAATTTGAATCGGCTTTAAATTTCTTTTTCAAGAACTTTATACCCGTCACCTCTCCAACATTTTTCATTTATTCTTGCTAGAGTTGCGGAGTAGGTAAGAAATAAGCACGAGAATTGGTTTATCAGAGTTGAGTTGGAGTTTTTTCTTCTTTTTAGGCGGCCATTTGCCGCTTGGAAGGTGACCTTACAGGCGAGCACTATTTACGAAGGTATAAGGTCGTACCTTAGGCGGTAAGGTGAGGCGTTATGCCTTCAAGGTTCGTCGCGTGTCTGTTGGCGCTGCGGGTCCCCGTCGCCGGGTGGCGGGGGCTTGGCGCGCCCTGACCGCTTGTTCCGCTCCGCAGCGGGCCGCCTGTGTGGCTGCTCTTGTGGACGGACGTGGGTAACGCGTCGCCGGGCGTGTGTTGCAGCAGTGCGCTGGAGTACCCTTGCCGCTTCGGGCACATGGCGGGCTACCTCAAGTCGCCCGCGCCGCCCGTGCCGCCGCACCACCAGTTCCACCCGCCCGTGCCGGGGCTGGCGGGCCCCTTCGGCCTGCCGCACGCCCTCGACGCCGTGCACCCGGCCGTCGGCTTCCCGCAGGGTGAGTCCACCAGCGCTTCTCCTCACAAGCAGAGGACCGCTTACGGTAAGAAGGGACCGCTTGCACAGCCATTTGCTCAGTGCGTTCGATTATAGTTCGCTCATTTTTAAGCGGATTTGTCACCGTCTCTATAGCTATAATATAATAGCTCCTTAAATGGCGAAAGTGGTCCCTCCTGACAGTAACTCCTCTGTAAAAACTATGTGACGTACTATGTCGATATGTAATGTACTATACTGTGTGTACATTACTATACTATGTACTATATGTAGTGTATTATAGTAATGTACTATATGTAGTGTTCTATAGTATGTATGTAATGTATCTAAAATTCTGTGATGGCCTAACCCATCCTAACCCATGTAAAATTCGAATCCTGAATACAGATGGAAATGAGCGTTTTGAGCAAGAATTGATAATAACATATTCGCTCTACATTGCATATATTCAATCCCTTTGGATTTGATGCGCATACTCAATGGTTTTTAAAATGAGGCTTGCGTCTGAGTAAAGAATTATTGACAACACTTGCAAAAGTAAAGCTAATGTAAATGCAGTGTGAACGTGGATACATCTCAATAGAACCATTTGCTTCCGTTAACTTGAACATGAACGCTGGCTTCAAAGTTACTGATATGTTTCACTTGAACATGATGTGAAAACAAGTCGCTCTTCTGTGTTGCAAGTCCCAAGAATTTGACTGTTTTGTTACTTATTTAGTTTGTAAGGGCATTAATCTGACAATCATCACAACGATCATTGTTCGTGAAACTCCTAGAATCGTTCGTGGTACTAGTATACGAGATAATTATCGTCTGAACGGGTAGAGTAAAACCAAAACTAAAAAGTTCAACCCAGCTTCGGGGGAATTTTCGCAGTCTTCATTCATTACAGCAACAGACTTGGGTAATTGGCAGAGCGTACACAGAGTGGAGAAGTTAAAGGACCAACCCGTCTCGTTGCGCTTCCGGAGCCCCGTGTCGATAATCTCTCCCCCTGCCAACTTCTTCCCGCCTCCCGTCATTCAGGTGGTCAATCCCGCTGTACTTCCCCTGCACGGTAGCCAACCCCTGGGCTTGCGGACATCTGCGGCGCTCTTAACATACAAGAATGCAGATGAGGAAGGACCTTAGCCGCGCGGCGCGCTTCTGGCGCTTTCCCGCCTCCGCCCCTCATTTACCGCTCCCTACCATTCCCCTGCCCCGGTGGCCCTCGCCTTGCCCGAGGGAAACAAGCTCAGCAGGCGGGGCAGAATTGAGCGGGGCTGTGCGGAGCGTGTGCCTGCGAGCGGGGCTGTGCGGGAGCGGGGCTGTGCGGAGGCTTGGGTGGGCTGTGCGGGAGCGGGGTCTGTGCGGGAGCGGGGTGTGCGGGAGCGGGGCTGTGCAGGACGGGCTGGCGGGAGCGGGGCTGTGCGGAGCGGGCTGTCGAGACGGGCCTGTGGCGGAGCAGGCTGTGCGGAAGCGGCTGGGCGGGCGGGGCTGTGCGGCGGCTTGCGGAGCGGGCTGTGCGCGTCCGGCTGAGCGGGAAACGGCTTGCGGGAGCGGGGCTGTGCGGGAGCGGGGCTGTGCGGGAGCGGGGCTGTGCGGGAGCGGGGCTGTGCGGTGTGAGCAAATATTCGCGCTGTGGATTATGCGTACCGTGCCGTGCCGTTCCGCGCCGCGCCGCCGGGCGCGTGGTGCGCCGCTCGCTCTCTATTAATCCGCACGGCGCCGATATGTCAGCGTCGCGCTGTTGATGGATGGCCGCCCTCCGCCTCGCGCCCGCCCCCTCGACCCCGTGTGCACGATTTTTGCCTGGTTACCGCTCGGGAGGATAAAGGGTGGCCGGCTGTGTGGGGCGCTGCCATCGGAGATAGAGCGAGGAATGAGAGTGAAATGGGTGATTGGTGATGGGATTTTCGATTAGAAATCGTAACTGGCTGTAGATACTTTTAGAATTATTAGGGGGAAAGGGAAGTTAGGATTTGTAAGGTATGTTGACTATTCGAAGTGTGGTATGAAGGTGGAGAGATCACAATAAATTTTACCAGAATTTCTCCGTCTACTTCCATTTGTTCATACTCTACGGTAATCCCTGTAATTTATTATCCATTCTATGTGAAGTCCATTAGACTAATTAAATCAATCAGTTTAACTCTTTTGTATGTAAACATGATCGTTTACAATATTAATTATAATGATAAAAAATATGTACGTATGAGTAAGAGTCTGGAATTTTCTTTTCTCTAGAAGGAGTAATACAATCGCCATGTTAAAATACCATATAACTCTGAATATGCAAACCTATATTGTAATGGCAGATTATATAAAGTAATACTGTTCTTTCTTGATGGGAATATGAGAAGCATGACAATTAAGTGCCAAAGTATTTGTTATCGGTATGTTTCCTAAATTTGTGGTTTCCTTGCATGAAATTTTCACGCTCAATTATTCTCAACAGTATTACTGTAAATAAAAGGCTTGATGAATCTGCAACTGCCATAAGTTTTCGATGGATTTAATTTACCCGCCGACCACCAATCGCCAATCGCAGTGGCGATTACACGGTGTCCACTCCGCCCTCCTTTGCCTCTGCCCGACCGGCGGCTGTGGGTCGCGGCGTGCGAGACGGGAGCCCGGGGCGGAGCAGCAGCGTCGGCCGCGCGCTCCGTCGCGCGCGTCTTTCTCCCGCGGCCGCCGCCCCGTCGCAGCGGGCGGGAGCGCTCGCGTTTTTGCAACTCGCGACCGTAATGCGTTTATCGTGGAAGCCGCAGTCGCGAGGCCGGGACCCGAAAAATCGCGGTGGCGCCCCGGCCGCGGGCGGGCGTGGGGGCGGGTCATTGTCGCCCGCAGCCGCTCTCCGGCCCGGAGGACAAAGCTTCGAACCCGGACAAAGCCCCCGAGCCGCGGCCGCGGTAAAACCCACGGTCGGAACGAAAACCGTATGATTGTACAGATGATGTTCACAAGCAATAACACTGGATTACAGGACCGAATGTAATCATCCCTCTGCTAATAGGATTTCTGAGGGGCCAATTGGCAGTGGCTGCGTTTTAGCCTGGGCGTGCGCCGACCCTGCCGCCCACTGGCCGCGAGTCATCCCGCGGGAGATTCGATGGAATCGGTTCACGAGAATCAAGATTTTCATTTTTGTTTAAAAATCAATCGACTGTTGAAATGGGGATTTGGGTCGGGCATTCATGGGGAAAACAAAACAAACAAGTATTTACGGAAGCTATATTGCTTTTACAGGGTTTTTGAGCTTTAACACAAATAAAATAAGTAATTGTCATTAATACCAAACTTCATGGATCATTGATAATGATTCACATTGTGTAAAACAGAGTACAAAATCATACATTTTTCTCTCCCATTTACTACTTCAGCGTATTTTAGTCTGCGGTATCTCCAAATTAAAAGCGGGAAAACTATTGCTTCTAATAATGTTTTGTGATGATAGCAAGATGACTTGACAAGAAATGGCTCGGAGTGTCTGGATTTGAGGCGTCAAAGCAAGCTTTTTCAGTTTCTTAAGAGTTAAAAGAATGATTTTTCACTTTCGAGTTAGCGAGTCTTCCACATCAAATACGAATGCCTTGGTATGCGCAGCGGCCACTTCGTGCCGCGTCAGCGACGCAACGCAAGGGCTGTCCATCGGGAGCGCGGGTCGGCGGGGCGGGCAGGAATCGAACCGCGAGTGGGCGGGAGTGGGCGACGCGGCGTCGGGTTACCGCGCCGCCCACCGGGAAAGCCGCCCGCCGCCCGCCGCCCGCCGCCCGCCCACACCCTAGGGCTTCCCCCGCGCGCCCCGCCCCGCAGCACCCTCTCCCCCAGCGGTGGCGCCACGGCGAGAGCTCTTCACGTACGCATGCGAGCACTCTCAACGTTGAAGGAAAGCCAACTTCAACGTTCGCTTCAGTGGACGCACTTTTAATTTTTTACACAAGAAGTGGAAGAATTCTGATGACGTATTGTTTGACGTCATCACAGAAAAAAGATGTCTCTCTATTCCACATAGTATGTTATTAAGAGGACGGACGAGATTGAGACGCAAGGCCGTCGACATGCCGGACCCTCTCAATTATACACTACTATGGGCAGACGGAGGATGCATGTTTTATTTCTTCATTTTACTGCAATGTTAAACTAACTTGTGCTAGTCATTAAATTCACTGCTTTTGGATGGCCGTTGTCATATGAGATGCAAGGTGTCAAACTCGTTATTACCCGTCCGCAAAGCAAAAAAATGCCACAATCATTAAAAAAGTGTGATATTCCTGAATTGTTTTAGGACGGAGTATTCTATCAGAATTGCTACGAGTGACAGTTCAATCATAATGACAGTTGCTCTCAAGGGAGGCCTTGAAGACATTTATGTAGACTATTCTAAAATCAGATTGTATCACTTTTTAAATGTCCACTTTTTCATTAGTAACATTGCATTTTCTGAACGCAGAATTGGCAAATTCATGCAAAAACTAATATTATACGTCAGTGAAACTACAATGTTCGGTAATATGTTTGGGATAACCTGCGAAGCGTCATAGTCTCTGCCCTTGTGTATAGCTGTCGGGAAAGAAGAAAGTAGTTGAAAAGTACATTAACCTGAGCTTCCATGATAAAGAAATGTATGTTTTTTGCGTATAATTATCTGTATTATGCCGCAACATAGTATGATGTAAATATATTTTTTACATGATATTCAATGCTTAGCATGAAAATTCCCGAATATTATGAGTGTCCGTATTTTTATTAGTAACGAATGATAACATTACTGCGAATCTATTATCATTACGAAAGTCAAACTAAGAAAAATAGGTATAAATCATATAAAAACGATAAATTATTAGACAATATCCTTAAAATTCAAAGTGGCATTTGAATGGTATGTGATACATGAACCTGTAAACCCGTTTTTCCTTTCTATGGTTAAAAATAATTTGTTTTATCAGTTGTGGTTTATTTTGTGTGATCATATCAAATCTTGCAAGTCTTTTCAAATTTGCACCGTACAATTGAAAA